TTCCTGGAACTCGCTTTGGAGACCAGGCTGGCCTCGAACTCACAGAGATCCGCCTGCCTCTGCCTCCCGAGTGCTGGGATTAAAGGCGTGCGCCACCACCTAGTTCTTATATGGTGGCAGCTGCCATTGTCTCTCTGCCTCAGTCTTCCACTTCCCAGAATTCTTTCTCCTTGTCCCACCTATACTTCCTGCCTGGCTACTGGCCAGTCAGCACTTTTTCTTTTATCAGTCAATCATCCACAGCAAGCAGGGCCTGTCAAAGTCATTTTAATGTACTAATCCAGAAATAAGAGATGCCCCCAACATTGAGAATGCACCAGCATCATACAAGTGGAAAATCACACAACCTCACTTGGTCTCAACCTGGGGAAGTGGAGGCAGGAGCTGGGGGCTATGCTGGCAGTGGTTCTCAACCTGTAGGCCATGATTCCTTTGAGGACTGAATGACTTTTTACAGGAGTTGCCTAAGACCATTGGTAAACATTTACAGGTCATAACAGTGGCAAAATTACAGTCAGGAGGTAGCAATGAATAATTTTATGATTGGTGGTCATCATAACATGGAAAACTATTAAAGTGTGGCATTAGGAAGGTGGAGAACCATTGGCCGGATTAGCCTAATTGGTGAGCTGCAGGCCAGTGGGTTATCCTGTCTGTGGATAGTGTTCCTGAGGATGATGCTTAAAGTTGTCCTCTGGCTTCCACATACATACGTGTACTGGCCAACTTTTTTTTTTTAAGTTTGGTACAATCCTGAGTCAGGGTAGAGTTCAAAGCTACAAAATGGGCACTTCCCCCCTCCCAAAAGTGAGTTCTGCAAAAAATGAAATGGCATTCTGTGTGTATGAGCTTAGGATACATAGACATGAGTGTGTGTGTGTATGTGAGAGAGAGACAGAGAGACATGAGGTGCCCTTAGAGGGATGGAGTATATTGAGTGTTTCTCTCTAACACAATCCACTTACTAACTTACTCCCTTGAGACACGGTGTCTCAGAAGCTCGGATTTTAACTAGGCTGACTGGACAGCAAGCTGGATCTGTCTGTTGCTGCCCCAACCCCCATTGCAATGCTGGGGTTATAAGCATGTGTACAGCCATGCCAGTGGGTATTGGTTCCCAGGTCCTTATGCTTGCATAGCAAGTTCTCTGACTTACTGAGCTATCTCCTCCCAGTACTGGATCAGATTCTGTAAAATCCTTTGAAGGGGAAACAGATAGAGATATTCACCATCTTGGATTTAGTGGACTGGAAGTGCCCGGGCGCAAATGGAAAAACAGGTAAGTTACACTTAACTTTAGATTAAAACCTGTTATCAGGCCGGGCAGCAGTGACACATGCCTTTAATCCAGCACTTGGGAGGCAGAGCCAGGCTTTGTGAATTCGAGGCCATCCTGGTCTACAGAACGAGATCCAGGACAGGCACCAAAACTACACAGAGAAACCCTGTCTTGAAAAACAAAAACCTGTATCAGCCAGGCATGGTGGTGCATGCCCGAAGCACTGCAGTGGGAGGGCAGAGGGACAGAGGTAGGCAGATAAGTTCAAGGCCAACCTGGTAACAAAGCTGGTCTACAAAGGGAGTTTCAGGATAGCCAAGGCTGTTAATAAAGAAACCTTGTCTCAGAAAAAAACCTGTATCAAAAGGTACTACCAATAGAATGAAAAATGGGCTGAGAGTTGGCACAACAGTTGGGAGCAATGCCTGCTTTGTCAGAGCA